TCCCAAGAAAAAAAAAAAAAAACCGCAAAAACAGAATTAGAAAAGGGAAAAAACAGAAAATGACACTTTCTTGCTATCGACGGCGGGCGCTTCGAGATATTCCCTCGCATCGACACCCGCCGCCGCTCCGCCCCGCAGCGACGAAACAAATACAAAATAAAAAAGGAGAAAAAAATTACAAAAAGAATACCAAATCAAAAATAAAAAAAGAAAGAAAAGAAAAGGGGCCGGGGCACGAAACGACACTTTCTTCCTATCCGACGGCGGGCGCGTTCAGATATTGATGCGCATCGACGCCCGCCGTGTACCCGGCCCCGTGGGCGCGCTCTCTTGTTTAGTGGCGCGCTGTGAACAATTCGGTACGCGCGCCACTCTGCACAATGCCCCTCCCTAGATCTTCATCCGTCGGCCCGAATCAAAACTTCGGGCCGATCCCGGTGCGCAGCGGAACACAACCTCCCCCCCACGGGCCCACCGCGCTTAAGGGGTAGGATTTTTTTCAGTTTTTGATTTTTGACTCACGTTTGACTAAGAATTTGAACATGACTCCATTCACTCCAAGGCAAAAGTTTCTTCAACTTTCTTGTATTGTTGTTTTACATGACTTTTTTTTTTCAGATTTTTCTGATACTTTTTTAAATTTTCAAGTTCGCGTTCGGAGGGTTTTGGGCGCTAGTTCGCGTTCGGGCGACCATGTTTGGGTTCGCCTCAGAACGCGGTCATGGTGCTATGTAGAACAGAACTATGCTCGTGGTTCATAAAAAGCTTGATTGATCGTCAAAAGGTTCAAAGGGGGTATTATGCATACTTTCTCTCTCTCTCTCTCTCTCTCTCGCGCGCGCGAGAGCTCGCTCACTCACTCATTCCCCGTGCGGCTCGTTCCGAAGCGATCAAAACGAGAATTATGGATCTTCCGGCAGCAATGGGAAGTTTCATTCCCACTGCGCGTCTCTCTCTCTCTCTCTCTCTCTCGCTCACTCGCTCGTTCTTCGTGCGGCTCATTCCAAAACGATCAAAACGATAATTATGGATCTTCCGGCAGCAGTGGGAAGTTTCATTCCCCCGGCGCGTGCCTCTCTCTCTCTCTCTCTCTCTCTCTCTCTCTCTCTCTCTCTCTCTCTCTCTCTCTCTCTCTCTCTCTCTCTCTCTCTCTCTCTCTCTTGCGCGCGCGCGCGCGCGCTCACCATTCCCCACATCGTGCTGTTGGAACTGACCTCATTTTCTTACTCTTCTTTTTGTTTTGTTTTTCCCGTGCTCGGTCTGCCCGTGCTTTTGGGCATGACCGGGCGTTCCCTTCCCTGACCCCCCGTGTTAACCACGGGGTATTTGTTTGTCAAGCGGGGAGAGGTACTGGTGGTTCAACTCGGGTTTTGTAATTATTGAGACTCATTTCCCTACCTATTCCTTTTTGCTTCCCCTTAATTGTCATCCCGTGGCCGACAGTTGCTCCCCATTGGCCTCGCACCTTGCGCGGCGATTGTTGCCGCACGGAGTGCTTCCGAGCCCAAGGTTTCGATGATCGGTCACGTGGTGAAGAGGAACTCAAGGAAAAAGCAGTGAGACTGCGACCCTCTTGACTCGGATTCTGAGCTCTGCGAGGAACGCCGTCGATCCCTCGTCCAAATCCGAGATCCTATGTGTGTTCCTGCTCCGTTTGCGGTGCCGCGCTGCTCACGACGAAGTTATAGGATACTTTTTGGAGTAGGTAGTCATTGGAAGGGATTCTTTTCAGCTTTTCCCGCCTCACTCGTCGCTCCATATCTGGGACCACATGGGAGATTTCAGTTATGTCTGGGTCTGCACACTCAATTTCCAAAAATCCTTGGCACGCCCCGTTTTGCCGCTTTCCAGGCCCTTTTCTGTGTTTTAGTCACTCCGACAAGAAAGCTGTGCAGGGCGTGAGGTTTTGAGTGTCACAGGAGGGCCTGAAGGGCACCATGACCATCCGCTCCCCTCCCTCTCTCTCCCTACCTCTCTCTATCTTCTTCCTTTCTAGTAGCCCTTTTACATAACTTTCACTGGTGACATAGGGTGCGGGGGGAACATACCTGGGAAATCTGTTGCCGGTCTCAGGGGGAAACCAGGGTGTATACTTGTCCATTCATTGAAAATCAGCCTGTAGTCCCGCCACGTCCTCCTTGTCTTCCAGTAGGCTTCTTGCCCAACCCTCCGTCCATGTCACTCTGCGATCCGTCCCCCTTTTACCCCCCCAGCCAGTCTTGACAGAGATGAGTGAGATTCTCCTTGATGTCCTTATGCTGATGGAGAAGGTCCAGTTTCTGCTTGGTTGTCTGCCACCTTTGTGTTACTTCCAATTGGACTAAAGTTTTAACTTGCTCCCTCGCTTCCTTCCATTGCAAGTGTACACCTTTGCCACCATAATGCCCACAACACTGTCCTTCTCCCCAAGGTGAACATGTTCCCCGTGAATGTGTCCTCGGGCTGTCTAGGCCAGTGCCCTGTCAAGCTGGCCCGCAAGTCCTAGGGCCAGTAAGATCCTGGTACTATTTGCTGCCAGATTCTTTCCCACCATCACCAGGTGAGAACAGCGGGTGGGCATTGCAAAAAGATGTGCTCTATGGTTTCGTCCCTCTTCTTCACAGGGTAGCACTGAAGGCATATGCTGCTCCAGGGGAGGGCCTGACCTTGCTTTGCTTGTCCAGTGTGATATACCAGCTGGTCCGCGAGGCTGTCCTCCGTGATCCGGAGGCAATCTCCCATTTCCATCCGCACTACACCGACACTACAGTCATAAATTTATAGTCCCTTCTTTTTTTTTTTTCTTTTTTTTTTCATGTGGCCCAATGGACCACGGATCAGAAATTAAACTGGTCAAAACAGATACTACACTTGATCTTAGCCAATGATTGGGTTTGTGAAATTGTTTTGGGCGTGAGTTCATTTTTTGTGCTTTGGCGGAGGTCGTTCAAAGTGGTGGGCCTGATGCTACTGCCCACATTAGGTCTGCTGCTTTTGATGACCTCAGAGAGAGAGAGAGAGAGAGAGATAGAGAGAGAGAGAGAGAATCCACACTTTTATGAGAAGAGATTGATGATAATCCTTTAGGGCTGCGGTGTTAGTATCTCTTTCATTGCTTTGGGAATTAACGGTTTAATTAGTGCCAAGTTTGCATTAGATTAGGGTTAGGGCTTATTTTCACGTGATATGAGGGCTATTGCCGCTATTGTGAATGTGCAGACTTATGGTGTTTTCACAAATTCTAATCTCTTATTACATTAGGGTTGTTGTGCTGGCATCTTGTCGATTGTTTTGTTGCTTTGGGGATTAATGGGTTGATTAGTGCCAGCTTACATTAGACTAGGGTTACGCCTCATTTCCACGTGATATTAGAGCTATTGTGAGATAGGTGGTTTTATGGCGTTTTCAGATTTGGGTCGGATTAAGAAATGGGTTGAAGGCTTTGCTTGGCCGGAGAGCCTTGCTCGGCCAACTTTGTGAGGGACGGCCGGCATGGCAATAATCATTACTCCTTTTTCTTTAAAAAGAAAAAAAAAAAAGGGCCGAGAAAGGTATTAGTGGGGTTTTTCGTTCCACCTAACCTTACACTCGACCCTACACTGCGCCCTCAATAAACGAGTGCGAAAAGCACATGAAAAAAAAAAAAAAAGAGACCGCTCTTTTGTAGGAATCTGAAGTGACCACGGGGAGGTGACTTGAAATTCGCCCCGATTTGCCTGAGCCACAGTACACCCGCACAAGGCGAGATCCTTAATCACGTTCGAGATTAGTGAAACTCGAGTGTGCTGTGGAACGGGGTCACACTTGAGTTTCGACTGTGGTAGTGTGGGAGTGCAGTGGAGCGAGGCCCTTATGCATGCCGGGCCCGCGCAACGAGCCTCTTGGCGGATGGCGAGTAGTGGAACTAGGCCCATAGACACAAGTTTTCCCTCGTTCCCGGGGGCACAACAGAATTTAAAGCCGAATCGAAAGTGGGGTACAGCCGCAATTTTAAACGGAGCTGCCTAGCTGCCTTGAGGACTTGCGTCTTCAGGGCAGCCAAGTGATCAGCTGTCGTGGTTGGTGGCCTGGAAGCGTAGAGGGGGAACCCGTTTTCTTCTATGATGGGGTTGCCCGTGTTCGGATTTCACACCTGATTGCGACCGCTGGGTACTGCCCGTGGCCTTCTTGTGGCCCTTATGCTTCCGGGGAGCCAGGCTCAGCCAGCCTGTGGACGTGTGATTCGTCATGGCAGCCGAGTGATCAGCTGTCGTTGTTGGTCGCCCGTTAGTGTCGACGAGGAACCCGTCTTTCTCTTCGGTCCTTATAAGCCTCCACCTAATCGACGGCAGAACGGCAGGCTACCGCGAGTGACGATCTTGCCTTGCTTCAGTCTCAGAGCCATCCCGCTCCCGACGCGGGACCACTATGGCGACGTTGCTACATCAGCGGCAACTGCTGCCCGGATCCCTGTCTATGCTGAAGGCGTCTCCCTCTCCCTCTCGTGACCTCTCCCGACGTCTATTCTTTGTCGAGGAGAAGGCTAGTCGACGGAAGCCATCCTGCCATGCTGTCGACATTGGGATCGGGATCCAGTTATCCCCTTTAGTCGGGACGGCAACCGTAGCAACTCCGCGGGGCGAACGGGGACGCGTAAATGGAGGCGGAAAACATGGAGGAGGTGCTAAGCAAGGCCGCATTCAATTTGCAAAGGGAGAAATGGGGGAGAAAGGGGGCACAACAGGTGAGCGATGGAATTAGGCAGGCAAGCAGCCAATCAAGCAATCAATCACCTAATCAACCAATCTAGTGATTCGAGGAGTTATCAATGGAGGGGCAAGTGTGGGTGGGTGTGTGTGCGTGTGTGTGGGTGTAAGTGGGTAGGTGTGTGGATAATCTCGTGAATGATCAGACTCTCTCTCTCCGGTCCCCTCCTCACCTTACTATATACCTGATGAGCCTTCTCAATCATCATAGCTCGAGGCCTGATACATGCGACAATCTGATTCAATCCGACTTCACTAAGGCAGCAAGGTAGGCGGAGAGGAGTGATTCACGCAGAGTATGACCATCTCATGGGTACGACCATGGCTCAACTCAGTCGATGCTAGGACGACACACACACACACACACACACACACACACACACACAGAGAGAGAGAGAGAGAGAGAGAGAGAGAGAGAGAGAGAGAGAGAGAGAGAGAGAAGGCTGAAAATGAAAAGTAGGCCTCTACGACGGCCCAGGTGACTGAATGGTACCCATGTACTGTTGATAAGCAGATGAAGAGTTCAAATCCTCCGAGGAAAAAGGCAAAAAGAAATGTTAAGGCCTGACACTTTCCACGTCCGCAGCCCGCTCAACCGTCCATGAATGCCGAGAGAGAGAGAGAGAGAGAGAGAGAGAGAGAGAGAGAGAGAGTGGAAAGTTGGCCTCTACGACTGCCCGCGAGGCTGAATGGTACACACATCTTCCTGTTGATATTCAAATCCTAAAACGAAAACAAGAAAAAGGTATGCCTCAACTTTGGCGACCTTAGCAGCCCCGGCTCGGCTGTCCATGGATGCCACATACACACACGCGTTGCTCGTCACTTCCATCATTTTTTCAGACCATGTACGCTTCATACTCTCGTGCGTCGAACCCAGTCCAAGTTTCCGGGACTACGTACACTTCTAATACCCGGGCGGCCAACCCGGATACATCCATGAATGGCCCAGAGAGCTTCAGCGTCCAACCCGCGTGCATCCATGAATGTCCCAGTGAGCTTATGCCCTGAGCGTACGATGTTTGGGCTGGAGAAAGCATTTCACCTGCGAAACGTTGTAGAGGGCATGCCCAACTACTGTAGTGCTCTTGTTAAGCTAGGAAAGCACTAACCTGGCCACTATAACGTCCAGGTTGCACTTAGCTGCTACAGATACATCGACTTAGGGTCTGATCCCACCACTACACTACAGCCCAGTTACAGTGTAGTTTTCAGATCCCACCACTTTCCGACGTCGCAGCCGCCGAAATATTTTGCCTTACTTTCGTTTGGGTGTATCGTGGCAGCACGTCCGCCTCGTGTGGCAGCACGTCCGCCTCGTTTGGGTGTGTCGTGGCAGCACGTCCGCGAAGGGCGCAAGCGTAGTTACTAGTGCAAGGGTAGTTACTACAACTGTGTACCGCGCAAGCACTGAAGCGCAGCCACTCCGGAGCGAGACCGGCCGGCAGGCAGGGCTTGAAGCGCACCCAACGAAAAGGATTGTGAATGGGCCTGGGCACACCACTCTTGAAACGGGCCCAACGGGCCCAATCTCGGGACGTCGCCACGCTCCACTTAGCACGGCAACAACCTGCTTGTTTTTTGTATTTTTTTTCGTTTTTCGTTTTTCCATTTCGAGGGCAAACTCACAGCAGCACGCATTTTGCAAGCCAGCATTCTGCTGTGCACACCTCCAAACCCACTTTGGCCCGGGCTTCCGAAAATCGCACCCTCGTGCGATATCGCCCGAAATCGAAAACAGGCCCCCGTCCATGAAAACGGCCCGCCGACCGCTTTTGGTAACCGCTGGTCTGCCCCCCTCCAACCGCACTCGCGACCACCCGGCCTACCGGTCTCTGCCGCGACAGCGACCGCACCCTTCAATTACCCATGTTACCGCCCTATAAACCCCTTTCGCCGTCGTCGACATTTCCTGAAAAAGACATCCTCGCTATGCGACAAAATGCAACCGGGTATAGCGCAGCCTCCCGGCTGCGAATTTTTTTCTGTAGACCCTGAGGGCTTCTCCGCAGCGAAAAAGAGGGAGCAATTTTTTTTTATTTTTATTTTTTTCTTGTTCGTCCGTTTGCAGCATCAGGAATGTCCGTGGACCACACTGTTGTGTAGCATTTCGGTTGGCGAAAAAGTCTGCCCTCGGCAACAGCCCACAAATAACCGCCACGGGTCCAGGACAACCACTGAAGAAGTCGCCCTCGTGGGATCCAGTTTCTCTGTTTCGTCCCACCACGGCCGCTGACATCTTTGTAGTGCTTTTTCGCGACTACAGTTGCAGTGTAGTGGTGGGATCAGACACTTAGGGCCTCATTTGACACCACTTGAACTCAAGGGTTGAAGGGAAATTCTTTGTTCGACCCAACCCTGACTTCGCCGCGGAGTTGTTTCTACTTTCCGGCTCTCAAGTGCCCCCCCCCGGGGGCAAAATCACACTTGAACTCAAGGTACCTCTTTGGGGAGCCTTGAGTTCAAGTGCCAGCGGATACCGCCAGCACTTCGAATTTCTTTTTTTCCAGCAGGCGATCCTGGTCAAGGATTGGTCATGCCGTGGAGTTCGATTTCAAGTGCACCCTGTTCAAGGGTTTCCTCAAGTGTACATGGAACCATAAATAGAGTAAGCGTAAATTAATCACAATTTCTCGTTTAGTGTGCACTTGAAACTCAAGTGTTTTCAAGTGGTGTGGAAAGAGGCTCTTAGTGTGTGTGTGCCCTGAGCATACACTTCCAGAGCAGGGGCAAGCTCTTCATAAGGGGCAGGGTTCCACCCTGCGACCATGTCTATATATAGCAGTGCGTGTATGCCACTACGGGCGCATGTGGTCAATGCGATTCCTACCGTCTTCACCCGAATACACTGCCCAGTAATTATCGGCGTATCTGGACTGAAAGTTGCACCAAGTACAGCTATATTGACCAGGCGTTCTATTCGGGTGAAGACCGTAGTGTAAGCATGCCACAGGCACTTGATTTCAACCAGGAGCAGGCAATTCAGCAGTGTGACCATGGTCTTTCTCAGCACAGAGGGTGTCAACCTTGGAGTAAGTCTGAGTCGTTTTTGGAACAGAATTACCCTATAATGTTCCCTTGAGGTGGTGGGAGAAGGCCCAATGAAAGAGCCTTAAACCACCAGTACTTGGCCCAGCTATAGGCCGCGGAAAAGGATAGAGTAGAAACGTTTCTAGTCGGATGAATTTGGGCGCTCTTGTAGTAGACCGGACATTTCCTAAAATCATGGCGCGTTAACGGGCACGACTCTAGGAAGAGAGGTGTGTGCGCTGGGACTTTCCACTATTTGAAAGCTCGAGGGCTGACACCTCCCTAGAGTGACAAGGGAGAGGATGGGAGAGGGAGAGAGGGAGAGAGGGAGAAGTGATCGGAGGTACCTCAAAACAAAGTGCTCCCTTTTCTCAAGGCCACTAATGTTGCAAGAGCTTGATCTAATGGATCAAGCTTTTCCGATGTAGATCAGACTTCTAGAAAGAGAAGTGAGAGAGAGAGAGGTAGGGAGAGTGCGTGGTCCAGACTTGACAACGGTCTGGACTCGAGATAACATTTCAAGCTTTTGTAAGTCCACACCGCTGTCGGGAATGAGTTGTTGTTTGAGCTTCTGATCCGACAGTGCTTATGTTAGGTAAACTTAGGCAATTTTGGTGAAAAAGTCGGACCCCATCACTTTCCGAGGTCAGTGGGTGCGGCGCTTTGTTAGGGGTACGTTTTCAGGTTATGTGTACGTGGCGCGTAGCCCATGATGAACGGCCCAAAGACACCATATAAAATGGAAAGCTCGAGGACCCCTACCCCTACCTAGAAAGTTGCCGTGAAAATGTGTAGGTCTTTTCTATGCCCATGCTTCCTCAGCAGGTATGTCTGTGTCACCCACATTGGGAGGCCAGGCGATACGGCGGACAACAGGAACGTCCGACTTCGTAGACGCCCAAAGAAACCCGCTGCGGTAGTTGGGAAAGACTTACCGAACCCGCCTCTGTGGGGTCCCAGTTTGCTTTTCCGTCCCGTCCGACCGGTTGCCTTCTTTTTAGGGACTTTCTTGGTTTTTCTCTTTTTATGTAATGCGGGATCAGTGCCCGAGTCTGACAGCAGGATGGGCAAATGCGCAAAAGAGAGCCCTATGCTGAGAAATCCGAAGTAGGGGACTTTTCACAATAAAAAGGTCAGTTTCAGAAATGTTATTGGCCCAAAATTGTCAGGATCATGCATAGGGGCGGCCCACTCGTTACCAAAACAAAAACTTTTGTCCTCTCAGGGCATACTCCCACTGACTCCGCAAAATATGCGGATTTGAGAAGTGCCGATTTGAGGTTTTGGGCATGGTTCACATCACACTGCTGTACCTTTTCAGATGGGACAAGGTCGCGGTCGTGTGAAGAAATGGGGATTTGGTACTTGGCTGGTCACAGGGCGCCATCCACAAATTGTGCAAGAACTTATGTGAACGATTTTTTGCCAATTTTCGAAGAAAATGCGAAAAATGAAATAGGGCATTTGCGGTCACCTCCAGAGGTGACCGCGAAAACCCTTGGCCCGCAGCTTCCCAGGCCGCTGACAAAGGGTGTTTAAAAAAAAAAAAAAGAAAAAGAAAAAAAGACATTTGCAAATTTGGTAGATACTAGATCCGCCTTTTCCCCTTTTTTTTGGGAGTTTGGGAATATAGGTCCCGGTGCAAGGAACATGAGTATGGACGAAGCACAGAAATCCAGAATGCAAAATCACACTGAAGTCCAAGTAGTCAAAGCCAAAGCAGATAGCACATGGAACCGAGTAACCATCCAATTGAGAATGATACATAAGAATCGTGAGTCAATGTCCACGCCCAACAGGGCAACACCAACAGCATAACCCAAATGTAGCTCTCCCTTGTGAATGGCGCCAGGCGCCCTATCTACTCTACAGCCTATCCTACAAC